GTAAACTCAGGTGACCTATTGCTATCTGTTTTCGTCCGTCGTCGTGCGTCGTGCGTCGTGCGTTGTGCGTTAACATTTGAACATTTTCAGCTTCTTCTCTGAACCATAACCAATTTCAACCAAATTTGGCATAAAGCATCTATGGGTGAAGGGGAACAAAAATTGTGAATTTCATGATCCCTGCCCCCCTGGGGCCTGTGGGGTGGGGCCAAAACCACTAAAATTAGTGCAATCTTTAAAAATCTTCTTCTTTACTCCTGGACATCAAGCAGTCAAACTGTTTGCATGATTGTAATCAGCAATGAGTCCTCTACCAAAATTGTGAAATTCATGGCCCTGGGGTCAGGGGTTCTAGTGCTAGGGCGGGGCTAAATAAGTAGGTAGTGAAAATGCATTATTTCTTTGAAAATCTTCTTCTCTGCTCCTGGGTGTTAAATAAACCAACTTAGTACATAGTTAAGATGAGCAAGAGTGCCTCTACCAAAATTGTGAATTTTATGGCCCCAGGGTCAGGGGTTCTGGTGTAAGGGCGGGGCTCTATTGATTATATAGTGAAAATACATGAATTCTTTGAAAATCTTCTTCTCTGCTCCTGGGTATTAAATAAACTAACTAAGTACATCGTTATGATGAGCAAGAGTGCCTCTACCAAAATTGTGAATTTTATGGCCCCAGGGTCAGAGGTTCTGGTGTAAGGGCGGGGCTCTATTGATTATATAGTGAAAATACATGAATTCTTTAAAAATCTTCTTCTCTGCTCCTGGGTATTAAATAAACTAACTAAGTATAAGTTATGATGAGCAAGAGTGCCTCTACCAAAATTGTGAATTTTATAGCCCCAGGGTCAGGGGTTCTGCTGTTAGGGTGGGGCTCTATTGATTATATAGTGAAAATACATGAATTCTTTGAAAATCTTCTTCTCTGCTCCTGGGTATTAAATAAACTAACTAAGTACATAGTTATGATGAGCAAGAGTGCCTCTACCAAAATTGTGAATTTTATGGCCCCAGGGTCAGGGGTTCTGGTGTTAGGGCGGGGCTCTATTGATTATATAGTGAAAATACCTGAATTCTTTGAAAATCTTTTCCTCTGCTCCTAGGAAATAAATAAACTAACTAAGTGCATAGTTATGATGAGCAAGAGTGCCTCTTCCATAATTGTGAATTTTATAGCCCCAGGGTCAGGGGTTCTGCTGTTAGGGCGGGGCTCTATTGAATATATAGTGAAAATACATTAAATCTTTAAAAATCATCTTTTCTGCTCCTGGGTATTAAATAAACTAACTAAGTGCATAGTTATGATGAGCAAGAGTGCCTCTACCAAAATTATGAATTTTATGGCCCCAGGGTCAGGGGTTCTGGTGTTCGGGCGGGGCTCTATTGATTATATAGTGAAAATACCTGAATTCTTTGAAAATCTTTTCCTCTGCTCCTAGGAAATAAATAAACTAACTAAGTGCATACAGTACCACCAGACCCAACCTGACACAAAGCAGTCCCAGAGCAGTCCCGGGGACTGCTTTCTGGGACTGCTAAAGCAGTCCCGCAGCGGTCCCAGAGCAGTCCCACAGCGGTCCCAGAGCAGTCCCACAGCAGTCCCAGAGCGGTCCCAGCAGTCCCAGCGGTCTCAGAAAGCAGTCCAAGCAGTCCCAGAAAGCAGTCCCAGTGGGCGGGGTTTATTAATTTAATGGGCGGGGCTAGCTCAGAAATGAGATTTCCAATAAACAATGGCACTATAAAAGGCAGCTGAATTTTTGTTGAGCAGTATGCCAGGAATCCTTACAATGCGAAGGCCATTTACATGTATGAGCAGTACCCGCATAGATTTGAAACAATTTGAAATAATATTTATTGAAGGAAGAAAGCTTACACACTTACAAAAATGAATTACACTGAACATGAATATTTAATCACAATTATCTTGGATTTTTTTTTTTGGGAGTGATACTGGCTCCCATATTTATTTTCTATACAGAAAATTAAAATTGAATTAATTACATTTCACCAGAATTAGTTTTAAATAGATCTAATCATTATAGATCATGGCCGATTTCAATACTATCGGGATACTCTAAAGGCATTTTTTTTTAAAGTATTAGGGCTTTTAAAAAATTCGTTGCTAATTTTGCCAAGTAATATTTTTCAGTATTGATTATTCATTACTGATGTCAACATGTTAATTTAAGAATTATTGTTTTATTTGTAAATTGTATTAGTGACCAGTATAGAATCCTACGATAATGTTCAACATTAATTAATCTTGAAAGGAATTTATACACATTTCATTTTTCTTTTTTTTTTCTTTTTTTTTTTTTGCATTACATTTTTTACATAGATTGAAATTAGGGTCATTGTTAATTGAGCAGCATGTTCAATGATGTGTAACACTGATACGTGTACCCAAATAACATACATGATTGTTTTTTCTGCCCAAAGGCGATTGAAACCACAGGTGTTTATACCATTTTATTTATACAAATTATCGGCCAGCTGGTAAACAAAAGCAAAACAAAAAAGACATAAATCACAATTCTCAGTATTTTCAACTGTTTATTTATTTATTTATTTTTTTAATTTACTCTTTTAATAACTTTTTTTATAAATTTTAAACAAAATTCATCTGTATATTCCCGTATAATTGTTCACATTGCTTATTTTACGAAGAATGGTGGCATAATTTTATTTTTATGTCATAAAATAAATTGTTAGATTTTTATTTGAGGGTTGCATGGAATACTCTTTTAGCGTGGTGCTTGTGAAACGTGTAGCCTTTCCAATTAAAATATCTTGTATCTAAATGACTATTGTAATGATTTGTTAAATAGTGCCAAATGCAAATTTTGAGTATTTAATTTTAGATTTAATAATAAAATAAATCTACATGTAGATATTTTTTCTCATGAGCCTGAAGTTTTGTATATTTTAGAAATAAAAATCTCCTCCTGACTTCCTTATTTAACAACTTTATTTTTAAAAAAATTCTATATTACATTTGTTTAAATATACAGTCCCTAAAACTATAAATTAACTATAATACATGTAATCTCAAGTTATTAAAAGATTATAAGAAATCCTTGCTTATCAAACAGTTTAAACTCCTCTCTACTGCAAGTAAACAAAACAACAGGGAGCCTGCAAATTCAGAATACACAAGGGGGCGGAGCTATCATGTCACTCAGAACCTTTGTCACACATGAGTGAACAAAGCAGTCCCAGAAAGCAGTCCCAGGGGCAGCTGGGACTGCTGGGACTGCTTTTCATAGCAGTCCCAGAGCAGTCCCATAGCGGTCCCAGAGCAGTCCCACAGCGGTCCCAAAGCAGTCCCACAGCAGTCCCAGAGCGGTCCCAAAGCAGTCCCGGGGACTGCTTTCTGGGACTGCTTTGGTGTCAGGTTGGGTTTGGTCGGTACTGTAGTTATGATGAGCAAGAGTGCCTCTTCCATAATTGTGAATTTTATAGCCCCAGGGTCAGGGGTTCTGCTGTTAGGGCGGGGCTCTATTGAATATATAGTGAAAATACATTAAATCTTTGAAAATTTTCTTCTCTGCTCCAGGGTATTAAGCAGATGAACTACCAATATAGTTATGATGGACAAGGGCCCATATCTTCCACAATTGTGAATTTCAAGGCCCCAGGGTCAGGGGTACCATACGGGGGGGGGGGTGGTTGTACTTATATACTGAAAATGAATGAATGGTTTGAAATCTGCTCCTTGGTATTAATCATACCCGAAATCTTAAAAAAAAGCCGCGGCTTATTTTAAGTTTTGGTAAGAAAATGGGGGGTTATTTTCAAGACCGGCTTATTTTCAAATTGCGGCTTATTATCAATGCAAAAAACTTGGTAAGAGAAGAGAGCACTCTTGTATTCATTGGCGTTTCCCGGTGTACGTCTTTAGGTATAAGGTGTACATGGTGTAATCAATCGTCTACTTTATGTTTTGAAAATGCCGATCCCAAAAGTTAATTTCATTGTATACAGCATATGAATTTACATGAATTTACATAAACTTTTTTTAAAAAAGTAAAAATAATATATATAAAATATCCGCTTGCAATTGAATCACTAGATAAATTAATCAAACACATTTTACACATATTTAAACAACTCAATTATACGGTACATTGAAATATAATTACTACCAAGCCCTGCCGATCAGCAAGTTTCTTGCCTCGGGCAGTATTACCGGACAGTTAAATGCTTTACAAACAAAAACTTCCTTTTATCCATTTACTCATTTAATTATAACAACTTTTAACACATCGTTAGCTTGTACGGGTCTAGATGGGTAATTATTGTTCTGACAATTTCGTGAAAAAAATTCACCATTTTAGCTGGTTCCGCAAAGAAGTTTTTTTTAGCCAGCATAACATGATTACTGGTAAAAAAAAAATTAACTTTATAAACAACCCTTTATTAGTAATTTTACATACGTTCATTAGTAGCTACAGACTTAGTTCATTCTATGACGTATGCAGAAATTGGTAAAGGTTAAATGGATTAAAGAAAGATAACTTTTTATTTTGCACAGTAAAAAAACGTCTTCACTCGTCAAATTTTTAAGACGAGGAAATCGTCAAACGTTTAACATAGCATTGTCATGACCGGCTTATTTTCAAAACTGGCTTATTTTCGAGTAATTTTTAATGCAAGAAAAGGGTGGTTTATTTTCAAAACCGGCTTATTATTAAATCCGTCTTATTTTCAAGATTTTAGGGTATCAAGGCCTAAGGATCAGGGGTTCATGTATGGTAGGGGCACTACTGATTATTGCTGAATATTACTGATTAGTTGAAATGCATTTTGTGTTCCCTTACCCTGCGTATGGGTATTAAGTAAACAAACTAAGCAACTGCTAAGTGTATTGTTATGATGATCAATGGTGCCTCTTTCAAAATTGTGAATGCCATAGCATCTGGCTTAAAACATGAATCAAATTCAATCACTGGAAGTTGTTGCATAATGCTCAGGTGACCTATAAGGCCCATGGGCCTCTTGTTTAAGATCCTGGTTGCTATCAGCTCACTAAGAAATCAACAACAAAATATCCAACTACAGTTGAACCCTCAACTGTGGTCTCTGAAACAGGGCCTGTTCATAGTGGGTGAGTCTTGATGTAATGACAATGCATGATGATCAGGCTACCATAACAATAATATATTTATAACATTTACAAGGAAAGTGTGCCAATTTTTTTCCCCATAATTTTAATACCAAAATTGTTGTTCACAAAGTCATCATTCCAAATGAAAAAAGTGTCTACCATAATTGGTCCAGTACTGCTACACATTTGAACAAAAATTGAAAAAACCATTCCAAAAAAAAAATGAAATAAAATTAAAAAAAACCAACGACAAAAGAATACAAAGCAAACAATATGTGTTTGTGAACCATATAATTTGTACCTGGCAGTAAAAAAAGTATCAAAAACTATTTTTAGCATATAGTTCACAGTTAAGGTTACATGGTCATTAACCTTATAGTGTCATTTCAAAGAACCTTATTAGTGGAGTACGTATAAAAAAATGAAGTCTTTATCTCCTATGGTTCAAAAGTTTTGGCGAAAGCTATTTTTAGCATATAGGTAACAGTCAAGGTCAAAAAGTTCTTTGAATTGGTGTCATTGTACATGTAAGAGCTTAATTATATATGTATGCATACAAAATATGAAGTCTCTATCTCCTATGGTTTGTAAGTTATGGCAAGAGTTTTAAAATGTTATTTTTAGCCTGTAGGTCACATGTACAGTCAAGGTCTAAAGGTCATTGATCATGGTGTCTTTTGAAAGATCTTTATTAGTGGTATACATATCAAATATGAAGTCCGTATATCTCAAGTTTCAAAAGTTATGGGGAAGGTTAAAGTTGACAACATTCAGACAAGTAGAAATACAGCTAAACAGACAAACAGATAAACAGAAAAAATAGTTCTTAGAGAATACATATTGACCTAGCAATAAAGTTGTAGCCTTGTTAGCATATTTCTTTCCTGGAAGCCTAAGTCAATTAAGAATGCTTTTTCTCAATATTTTACATTTATTTGTGTATTTTCTTGTGTTTAAGGTCTGCATCAGATACAGAAGATGGAGGAGACAATTGTTATGTTATAGGGATAGTATTTGCAGCTCTTGTTGTTTTTGCACAATGTAAGTTCTAACTTTAAAGCTAAAGAAGGCACTGTTAGTCATAGAACTATGCAAGGATCCTTAGTTAGTGTAAATTTAAGTTTGTTCAAATTATATCCCCTTCCACGTTGTTTATTGTTATTTCTACTTCTTTCCTAGCAACAATACTCAGGTCAGCGATGTTGCCCATGAATCTCTTGTTTTTCACAAATCCTCTACCAAATTAAATCATTTTCACATTTTGATATCATAAATATATAGCAATATTAAAACGTTGCAATGCTTATAAATTTTATCTATTGCTATACATTATATGTATGCCAAATTTAATTTTGATCTGAATTATGGTTACTATTATCTAGACAAAGAGATAGTTTGTGAACTTTTTAAGCGCTGCTTGTACACAGATTTTAAAGAAATATTCACTATTAATTGTGTATCGCTACAAATTTCAACATAAATTTTGAAACAACTAGAAACTTCTGTTGTTCAAAATTTAGTATTTATTACATGTACCTGGAGTTACACAATGACTTGAGGTTAACTTTTACATTTTTGCTCTTTTTACACATTGTTAAATTATCCATGTTTTCAAATAGGAAAGTGATTGCCGGAGACTGGTACAGTACCCGCATCGTTATTCTTTACAATTCTATCGTGTTCTATCGTGCGTGTATCCTATCGTATCGTGCGTGTATCCTATCGTATCATGCGTGTATCCTATCGTATCGTGTTTTCCGTTTATCAGGTTTTGCGTTTTCTATCGTGTTTTCCGTTTATCGTGTTTTGCGTTTATCGTGTAGATAGTTTATCAGGTTCTATCGTGTATCGTGTTTTGCGTTTATCGTATATATTCGGAAACCCTCGCTTTTTATCTTTACTATACAAAGAAACTACTGAGCTATTCCGAGTTTTTTTTTGTTTTGTTAATAAAAATAAGATTAAATCAACCGAAAAAGAGAAAATTAAGTTTTATGCCTTTCTTTTCCATCAATATAAGAAATATTAAAGCGTAGAAGGAAACAAATTAATAGCGTATTTCATGAATGAATAAATTTAATTCATTAATAAATAATTAAATAAAAATATAAAAAAATTATATATTAAAGCAGTCAAAATAAACAGTAACTCTATTTTTGGAAGGGATATTATAAGTAGATTGATCACCTGGTCTATTTTTTTTAAAAAATAATTTATCGAATTGTATGATTTATTTTGTAAAAATTTAAAATACTTTTTGATATGATTTTCTTAAATAAAACGGAGTTACCGGAAAAAGATTTTTGGTAAGCTACAATGTTTGCGTACACAAAAAGCAAATAAATAAATAATAAGCAGGGTATTGATATGTATATTTTTTCATGCAATATTCGTTTTTTCTTGTTTATCGTCTGATAACATTAGTAATATTTTTACGCCTCTGATCTGCATGCATGCAAAATTATTTAAAGTCTTGATGTCACAAATATAAAAAACATAAGACATTAATCCAGATGATTTTAACAACGATTTTAGCCGTATACGTTCAAATTTTAAATTTATTTTTAAGAGCTAATTACAAATTCCTTGATATCTGTCTAAATTAATAAAAAAAAACAAACAAAAAAACAAAAAAAAAATTATAAAATATATTGCATGAAAATATTCTACCCAATTATCACACCATGGCTGTTTCTATAAAATAGAAGTTTTTCGTTATTTTTGTCTGGCATAAGATAACATAAAAATAATATATACAGGGAAAAACATGATTTTTTTTTGAAAGCTTACTTTTTCGGCGTGGAAATAAACTGAAAATATAATCCATCTGGATGTCAAAAATCAAAATAAATCGAAGACCTATCCTTACCAGAAAACTGACACGTATGTGTAGCTCTCTAATTAGCACACCGCCTTCCTGTGCGGTTAACCATTCCTCCCCCTTCTCCCCTAACTGACACCTCGGCCCGTGTGTGATCAGCGTCAACATACCTGTAATGATTTCTCACCTGGGGTTAATTAGTAACCTCGAATACTACCTGGTTCTAATAAAACGCATCTACTTATTTTGGGGGATTTTGTTCCTAACTTGTTTGAACAAAATTATCAAAGTTTTAAATTTAAAAAATATATTAAATAATTGTACAATTAATGGATTAAAAAATCATCTCATCGCTTGAATGGTTAAAAAAAATTGAAATAAATCAATTTAATGAAATGAAGTCCCTAAACTCAACCCGCTATTTATTTCATTTCGTATAATGTTTCCAACATGTTTATGTAAATAAGTCTTTTAATAAAACTTAAAAAAAAAAACTGCACTTCTGGTACATGCACTTTCGGATCATCGGGTTTTCTATGTAATACGGACAAAATTAATTCTAGGAAAAAATTTCATTGATCGTAGAAACGGATGAAATAGTTCTAACATTCTTAACTATGAAAATTAGCTCGCATTTTTTTTTAGGATTTACATAATAAAATCAAAAAAAGTCGTCTGATTCCGCCCTGACCATGCAAGACTAGTAAATACACCAAATCAATTAATAGTATTAATGATTTATTCCATAAGTATGTAACTTTATTTAAGAATTCAATATTATATTTGGCTACTTGGTTAGATCTTGTTTATCTAATTTTAAATTGGTTACAGACTTTACATCCCCCCCTTCAAATATGCCTCAAAAAGATTACCGGGTCAGTCTAAAATGATTTTTAAGGTTTAATAATTCATTTGCCGAATTAATTAAACCTATTTTTTGTTATTATTAGAAACAGTACACACAGAGTTTAATAGCAATGATTTATAATTATTTAGTCGGAAAAGTCGCATTTCTCTCTTTTAATATTTGTTAATTGATTTTTCTGTTTTGTATTGTAAAAAAAAATTTAACCATTCAATGTTCATTAATAAATACGAGGTTTTAAGTATCTGATATATAAATGTTTAAATGTACATAAGCCCTAGTTAGCGTAAACGTACATGCAGGTGTAGCAGATTCATATTCTCGTGACACAATTTACATGTATTAATGCAGAGCGCCATTATTTTAAACAATTATTTAATTTTATTTAGGAAAAAATTTTCTTGAACTGTTTAGTTCTTGATAGATCTATCATGTTCAATTTATTAATTTTGTTAAAGCTGTTTTCTTTAAACCTTTCTTTCGGCCGGTCTTCTACTTGTATTTTTTTCTAAGATATTAATATTTAATTGCGATTTTGGATACATCGCAATTTAAGATTTAGACATTAAATACAAATATTTAATTTATTGCGTTATTTTCTTCCGTGAAATAACTTGGTACTTGTAGATAAATTTATTAGATAGAAAATTAAAATGTATATTTTTTATAAATGATAAAACTATTTATAAGTTTAAAAATTCACACCCTTGAGAAGAAATTAAAAAAAAAATACAGTCTCCATTTCATATAATCCCTTTAATCACTGTCAATTTTTTTTTTTATAAATAAACAACTTTTGTAAAATTACCACAGAGATATAAGGTTCTTTTTTTAATAATTAAATGTACTTTATAGTTTAGATTTAAACTCTGCAAGTATTTAAATTAAAATATTGCAGTAACTAAACAAAATAATATTTTCGTCTTGTCAGAAAACGTTCCGCATTTTGAAACAATCCTATCAGGTTTTGCGTTTATCCTATCGTGAAGATCGTTTATCAGGTCTATCGTGTTTTGCGTTTATCGTGTTTTGCGTGTATCGTGTTTTGCGTTTATCGTGTTTTGCGTTTATCCTATCGTGCGTGTTCCCGTCCCATCGTGCGTGTATCCTATCGTATCGTGCGTGTATCCTATCGTATCGTGCGTGTATCCTATCGTATCGTGTATCTTGTAAAGAATAACGATGCGGGTACTGTAAATGTGCTTAGTGATGGGCTAGAAAGGATGGCAATTCTTCAATCGGAACAGAACAGTTAAAATTACAATGAAAACAATGAAAAGTTGAATGTAATTGCAAGTAAAATGTATAAAAATTTCCAATTTTACGAATGCGACCTCTACAACAATACATGGACACATAGGAGAACTGGAATCTCTGGAAGGTTTTTTTAAGAAGAAAGGATAACCATGATGAAGAAAAGTTTTTTCCCCCAATTTTAAAAAACGTTTTTGAAACGTAAAATGTGTTTAGTTTTGGGGTTTTTTAAAAATATTTGTTAATTCTTTGAAACTGATATACTTACTTGTATAAATTTGTTTAAATGTTGTCTTGTGATTAAGGCTTGTTAGTGAATTGATGTATTTATGTCGTTTAAAACAGTTTCAATGCAGACAATTTTTTTTGTCATGCTATTTGCATGAAGATTAAACTGAGCAAATAAGATATATATATATATATATATATATATATATATATATATATATATATATATATATATCACATATCAATTTATGAAACAAGGCAAGTTATTGACAATTTATGAAAGAAGAATACCAACATTTCTTGTTTAAATCATCAGCTTGCAAGTTCCTTGTGAATACAATAGCCTTTGCAGCAATTAATATTTCATTAAGTCATGAAGACTTAACGTTTCATACTTATTGTAAGCACACTATTTTTAATAAGAATTGTTTTAGGTTTATTTGTGTTCTTTCATTGCAAGGGACACACGACAGGTTTACCTTGCAGGCAGAGGATGTTGACTCCTTTGTGGCATTTGATCCCCTTGTTCCCCCAGAAACATGTCATGAATTGTGTCAATTATCTTAGTATTATTTTCTCCATGTTCATTTAAGTATTTATAGTCAGGGGTTTTCATTAAATATGACTACATGACATGTCTGTGTGATTCAAAGAAGCCTAGTCCAAAGAGTAATAGATTTCTACCTTCATAGCTGCTTATAAAATTTTATGTACTTATTCAAATCTAGCCTAAGTGGCTATTTTACCTAAGTTTTGCTTTACTTACATTTTGTGGCTAAAAAAGAAAAATGGTAAAATATGGTGAGCCCTAATTGATTGATTGATTGTATATTGCTTAACGTTCCTCATAAGAATTTTTCACTCATATGGAGACGCCACCACTTGCCGATGGAGAGCTGCAAACTTTGTCCTATACTCTGCACTAAAGGCCATTGAGCAGGGAGGATTTTTTTTGTCCCAGCACTTCTGCGACACTGGTCCTTGGTTTATACGGTCTCATCTGAAGGACCGGTCTCCATGTCCCACAGTGGGTTTTAAACCCGCGATGTAAGGATCAACTCCTTACATTTGCGACTTTTAGAACAGACGCTTTAACCATTACGCCACGACCAGTACTAATCAATAATTAGTCACACTGATGAATACAACATTTAGGCCAAAAAATGAATAATTCTTAAACAATTTTGTGTAGTAATTTAAGTAATTAATGCTAATTGTAAATTTACGAATTAATCATTTTTTGGCTAAAATTTGTCGTGTTCATTATCAATGTGACGGTATCAAGGAATTTGGTGTTGGATAAGTTCAAATACCTACAAGCTATATGTATTAGTACTAATTTTGGGGAAAATATTTTTTGTACTGGACCTGTTAAACACCAATTACTCATAAAAACTTTAAATATTTCCCTTTAAAAGTATCTTCCTTGCAGAGCAGAGCGGCACTTAGGGACCACTTTACCCATGTC